TTATATATCTTTATAATGCGGAAAACGACTATCTTTCATAAAATATATATGTATAGTATAAATACTTACACTCTGTTTCCAAGGACTACATACTTCTTCAGAAGCAACCATAGTCATAGCAATCATAACGAAAATAGTGAAAATAACGAACTTCATCTTGTCAATATTTCCTGTAATTATTATTTTTTTATATAATATATCTACTATTCGATATGTCCATACAATACAATATGATAATAACATAATAATACTTCTATAGAAATTGCCATTTTAACTTCACGTGAATTTGTCTTTTAAATGACAAAACTAATAAAACAAGAAACATTTTATTATTAATATAATATCAGTAGACAGGTTTATATAAACAGTTTATTATCTATCAACTTGGATTCTCAGCTCTTATTTTAAAAAATTAGATGCATATTGAAACTTACCGTTTTTCTTGGGGAAACCGATTATGCAGGTCGTACGATGTAATCGTAACTGATCAATTCTTGATTTTCAAAGAGTATTTATACTTTATATCGCACATGTGCAAATTAAAAATATCAGAAGTGTAAACATTGTCTGCTTTATATAAGAAAACATTTGTTTGGGCAGACTGTTACAAGGTTATATTCTTACGTCTTATTTAATTCGAATTGTTAGTCACATAATCATAAGGGGTTTTTTATTCCATTGCAGTTTTATATTTTGCATTTTGTTGACATTAAAATATTTTTTACAATACTTGGTTTTCTATAGAATTACATAATATAGTAATCAAATTGTATTAACTGTTTTGTCACGTTATTACAATTTTATTACATTATTAAACAAATACATTGTACAATAAAAAGGATTTTTAATAAATTTCTAAGACCATTCAAGTCTACTAAATCATATAAGTTAACTCTTATTATAATCTTGAAAACTTTTTTTATAAAAAAATGAAATTGTCTTGAAATAGATCTAAAGCAATTCTAATTAATAATTATCGTAGTAATTAATAATTATTGTATTTTGAATATATACACATCTCAACTTTTTGGAAAGATTAGAATAAAAATTAAAAATATAATCTAAACTAGATTTTCTACGTAATTATTTCAGAATGAAGTACGTTATATATCAAATTGCCTAATCAAATTAACAAGAAAATCAGATGCTTTTTAAATCTACTGTCCCATTAATAAATAAGATTTTTCATGTACGAAATAAATGCAGCCGACACAAGATATTACTATAATGCATCAATGCTGTAACAATAAAATTGAAAAATAACTATTATGTCACATCTATTGTATTAATAGATAAATTAATACATTTAATATAAAGAAATACAAATAAATATAATTAATATTAAAGAACTCTTATATATTTATTTAATATATTTGTAAATATATATCACATATATTTATAATTAATTATAAATAAATGAGATAGAAATTAATGATAGCTCTTGAAAGTCTTTATTTAAATTCATATAGTAAAAACAGCCTACCTTTAATTATTGTTTACAGGTTTGGGGGGAAGGGAATTTATAGATGCATAATAGCATCGATAGATATTGAATTGATTGTCAATTTAATTATAGGTTACAAGTTTTCGATTTCATTCAAAGAACTGTGTTTCAAGTCCGAAAAACCGAGCGGCGCGCAAATCGAGTGTGGTGGATATTGTAACAAGAATTTTAACACACCAACACCCGTGTCAGCTCTTATAGGCTGTTTTCACTATATGGATTTATTCTTCAGAGTCCATTGCCTCTAATTTAATCTTTATTTAAAGTTAGTCATAACAGAAACTCTTTTTTTTATATAAATATAAAAGAAAAATAGAGACTAGGTCAGATGTAAAGAAATGTTAAGCGATATTATCATATAGTACTATTATTGTGATATCTTTGAATTCTGGATAATAAGGGTTTTTATCCAGATCGAATCCCAACTTTTGGTACACATTTGGCAGTGTGAAACGAACATATTAAACTAGAACAGCAATCAACAGTTAAATGACACTAAAATATTTAAAATATAATATTTAAGACGTGTTTTTTTTTACATTAAAAATTAATATTGCTAATGTATCGACTCACTTCAAATGTAAAACATTTTCTTATAGTCTTAATATGTTTATATGAATTATACATAGAAAACAAAACATGAATGAGTGAAAAATCTCTTAATAATAATATTGTTTTCTTCGTTTGTCTTTATAATGCGGAAAACGACTATCTTTCTTAAAAAAATATATAAATACTTACAAGCTGAAATTTAGAATTACATTTTTCTTCAAAAGCAATAACCATACCAAGCTATAACCATAGCAATCATAACGAAAATAATGAAAATAATGAACTTCATTCTATACCAATATTTTCTGTAATTATTATTTCTTATAATACAAATTCAATATGCGCATGCGATATAATAATGTGAGAATAATACTTCTATAAAAATTGCCATTTTAACTTTACGTAAATTTATCATTTAAATGACGAAGGTAGATAAATGAAACAAGAAACAATACCTTTAAAGAATATATATATACTTTATATCGCAGTTGTGCAATAAAAAATATCGGAAATGTGCATAATTGTGTTTCCTGCTAAATGTAAGGAAACATCTTTTTGACAGACTGTTACAAAATTGAATTCTTACGTCTTTAATTCAAATTATTATTTATAAGGAATTTATTTTTTAACTATAGTTCCATATTTTGTATTTTATTAGAATATTTTACAATGTTCTGTAAGATTAAATTACGTAATATAATCACGTTATTAAAACGTAATTGTATTAACTGTTTTGTCACATTATTAAAATTCTAATTTATTATTAAACAACTACATTATACAAATTGTATTTACTAAAAGATTTTTTGATAAATTTTTTATGGACGTTTATGTTTTAATATGTACAATAATATGTACAAGTAATATGTACAAGCTAACTTTATATTTTTGCGAATTTTTTTATAAAAAATAAAGTTATTTTTAAACTACAATAATAAATTTTTAATATTATCGTTTTTAAGTTATTTGTGATTCTAATCAAATATAATTTTTATCATTATTTATTATCGAAAAATTAATTGTGTGTACAGTTTCAGTACGCACATAGTATAAATATTTTATTATCTATTTGGATTCTCAACCTTTATTTTAAAAAATTAAACGAATGTTAGAACTTACCGTTTCTCTGAAGAAATAAATCGATTATGCAGGTCGTACGACGAATCGCAACTGATCAATTCTTTGACTTTTTAAAAGTATTATATGTTACTTTATATTGCACTTGTGCAATAAAACATATCGGAAATGTATTGTTTACGTTATCTGCTATATGTAAGGAAACATTTGTCTGCCCAAACAAATGTTTTCTTACACACAGCACACGTTTCCTACAGACTATTACAAGGTTATATTCTAGCGTCTTTAATTCAAATTATTAAACTTGAAATATTAGAATGTTTTATAATATTCGATATTCTATACGGTTAAATTACATAATTAAATAATAATCAAATTATAAAACACAGTTGTTTTAACTGTTTTGTCACATTATTAAAATTTATATTATTAAAATTCTATTTTAGCATTAAACTGCATTATTATAATTATATCAATAACAAGATTTTTTAATAAATTTTGTATGAACGTTTACGTCTACTAAAATAAAATTAAACTTAATAAAATATATGAATTAACTTTTACAATCTTGAGAAATTTTTTATAAAAAATAAAAATTATTACTTTGGATGTACAACAGTTGTTGCCAAATAACGTGTCAAATGAGCATCTTCTACGCAACTTAAGAAAATATAGATATCGAGATACGCTGCTGAAAGTGGAAGTGGATTGGTCATACACTAAAATAAAACCCACAAAGCATAATTCGCGAAGCAATGGAATGAAATCTACAAGGCAGAAAGAACAGACGAGGATCCTTAATGATATGACGAAGAATAGTATAATATAGCACAAGAAGCTAAAGCTTGATCAACTGATAAAAGCTAGTTCGAATTAATAGTCCTCGTTCAACAACGGTGGAAACAAATTGTGAACGCCTTATGTTCCACTTAGGAGATAAAGTATTAAAAAGAATTTTTTGAAGTACATTAATTATAATACCGTTTTTTAAATATTTATTATTTTTTAATATTTAATTTTAATCAAATATAACCATTACGTATTCGAGATAAGATGAAAGTTATTGTTAAATGTTTTAAGTAAACGTACATAATATATATTCCAAATAGTAATGGATGCAGTTATCTATTTTGTTTTAACTATTATCGGTAGAATTAATGATTGTGTATAAGTACAAATATTTTCCCTTCTCATACATAATGTTCTCTTCTTATTTTTGATATTACTCAATGTATAATTATGCCTTTTATAAATAATTATTAAATATATATGAACTTTAAAACCAAAAACGATGCAGTTATATATGAAATAGATCTAAACTAATTCTAAATTAATAATTATCGTATTATTGTATTTTGAGTACACATTTAAACTTTTTGGTAAGATTATAATGAAAGATTTTGAAAAGATTATAATTAATAATAAAAAATAATAAAAAAAATTAAGAATATATTCTAAACTAGATTTTCTTAACACGTAATTATTTCAGAACGACGTTATGTATCTCATATTAATACAATTAAATTATAACAAGAAAATTAGATGTTTTTTAAACTATTGTCTTCTTAATAAATAATATTTTTCGTATATGAAGTAAATGCAGTCGACATTAAAATATTTCATTGCTGTAACAATAAAATTGAATAACTATTATGTCGTATCTAATTGTTATATAAATTAATACATACAATAGCCGTACAAATTTAAATATTATTAATATTAAAGAACTCTTGTATATATTATTAAATATATTTATAAATATATATTACATACATATATTTATAATTAATTATAAATAAATAAGATAGAAAATAATGATAGCTCTTGAAAGTCTTTATTTAAAGCCAGTCATAACGGAAACTCTTTCCTTTTATATAAATATAAAAGAAAAATAGAGGCAAAGTCAGATATAAGGAAGTGATAAGCAATATTATCATTATAGTACTATTATTCTAACATATTTGGTTGATATGGCATCCAGGATCAAAAAAGCTCTTATCCAGATCGAATCCTATCATTATGTCACACATTTGTGCGCATAAAACAAACATTTCAAACCAGGACAGCACTCATCAGTTGTATAACACTAAAATATTTAAAATATAGCATTTAGAGACGTTATTTGACATTAAGAATTAATATTAATTAATATTACGAATGTACACAGATGTAAAACATTTTCTTATAATATTAATAAATTCAAATAAATTATACATAGAAAACAGAATTTGAATTAAAATTTTTTTTGTCTATCTTTATAATGCGAAAGACAACTATCTTGCATAAAATGTATATAAATACTTACTGGGCCACCGACAGCTTTACATTTTTCTTCAGAAGCAACCGTAGCAATCATCGCCATAGCAATCATAACAAAAATAGTGAAAATAAGGAATTTTTTCATCTTGTCAATATTTTCTGTAATTATTATTTTTTATATAATATTTACATATATCTATTATATGTTACATAATGTTTACAATTTAATATACGCATGCGATATAATAGTATGATAATAATACTTCTATTATAGAAATTGCTATTTTAAGGTCACGTGAATTTACCTTTTAAATAATGAAATTAATAAAACAAGCAATATTTTATTGTTATTACAATATCAATAGATAGTTTTATATAAATAGTTTATTCTCTATTAATTTGAACCTTCAATCTTTATTTTAAAAAATTAGATATATGTTAGAACTTACCGTTTTTCTTGGGGAGCAAAATCGATTATACAAGTTATACGATGTAATCGCAACTGATCAATTCTCGATCTTCGAAGAGTATTTATACTTTGTTTTGCACTTGTGCAAATAAATAATATCAGAATGTATTGCTTACGTTATCTGCTATATGCAAGGAAACATTTGTTTGTACAGACCATTACAAGGTTATATTCTTGCGTCTTTAATTCGAATTATTAATGTTGAAACGTTAGAACGTTTTATAATGTGCGAGATTCTGTACGGTTAAATTACATAATATGACAATCAAATTATAAAATACAATTGTATTGTATTTTACTGTTTTGTCATATTGTTTTCTGTTATTAAACTACATTATACAAATTGTGTCAACAAAAAGAATTTTTAATAATTTTCTTATGAACATTTAGGCCTACTAAAATATATAAGTTAACTTTTATTATCTTGAGAAATTTTTTATAAAAAATAAATTTAAAAAAAATATTTTTTATAAAAAATGAAATGTTATTATTTTTACAAGTACAGATGGCGTCACAAATGTCTTAATACTCGAAGTTGCGCGATGAGATAAGAACGCCGTTTCTCATTGGAACGCCCTCTGAAAACCCGTTTCTGATTGAAACGCGCTCAATATGCTCGCAACTTCGAGTGTTAAGGCATTTGTGACGCCTTGTGTACAACGGTTCTCCAAATAACATATTAAATGAGGATCTTCTACGCACGACCAACCCAAGAAAGGATAGACATCGAAATACGTCGCCGAAAGTGAAAATAGATTGGTCACACACTAAGAAAAGAGCAAGACATAACTCGCGAAGCAATGGAACCTACAAGGCAGAAGAAACAGAGGAAGATCCTCAATGACATGGCGAAAAACAGTAGTTTAAGAAACTACATAGATTGATGAAATTATGGTCCTAAATTAAAAGCCATCGTCCCCAACAACGGAAACAAATTGTGAATGCTTTATGCTCCACTTAGGATATAAAGGATTAAAAAAAGAATTTTTGAAGTACAATAATTTTTAATAATACCATTTTTTTGGTATTCGTGATTCTAATCAAATATAACCACTAATCATTTGAGGTAAAATGAGTTATTGCTAAATGTTTTAAGTAAACGTACATAATATATTCCAAATATGTAATAATGGATGCAGTCACCTAATTTGTTTTAACTATTATCGGTAGAATTAATGATTGTGTATAAACAACTGCAGTATGCACGTTATAATTTTATAATCCATTTTCTCTTCTCACACATAACGTTCTCTTCTTATTTTTGATATTACTCAATGTACGATAATGTTAAAATGCCTTTTAAAAATAATTATTAAATATACAATATATAAACTCTAAAATCAAAGTGCAGTTGTCTTGAAATAGATCTAAAGCAATTTTAAATTAATAATTATTGTATTATTATGTTATTTTAAACATATACACATCTAAACTTTTTGGAAAGATTATAATGAAAATTAAGAATATATTCTAAATTAGATTTTTTTAATTCGTAATTATTTCAGAATGATGTTATGTATCACATATTACTTAATCAAATTAACAAAAAAATCAAATGCTTTATTACCTTATTGTTCTATTAATTAACAAATAATTAATATTGTAATAAATAAGATTTTTCATGTACAAAATAAATGCAGTCAGTACAAAGATATTATATGCATCATTACAGTAACGATAAAATTTGAATGATAACTATTATGTCGCACCTAATTATATTAATATATAAATTAATAAATTTACATAGATACAATAGCAATACAAATTTAAATATATTAGGCACCAAAATCCAACGTGACCGTAGAAGGCACTCTCAAATTTATTTGTGTTTTTACATACGCGGTCTAGTAAATTAATATTATTAATATAATATATGTTACATAATATATAATATTAATTATTAATAAATAAGATAAAGGCTGTCGATAACTTGAAAATCTTGAAAGTCTATTTAAAGTTAGTTATAACAGAAATTCTTTCTTCTTTTATTTATATAACTTTTTTATATCTGATCTTGCCTCCATTTATATATATATATATATATATATA